GGTCAGTAGCGAGGAACGTTTTGCTTTCAACGATGAATGTGGGTTAGTGAAACCTCCAGACCGTTACCAACGGCTCCTGATTCCTCCCGAATTGAGACAGAAATAGCAATCTCTCAGATCTATCAAATAACGATTATTTGGACATCGTGGCCAATTTTTTTCAAAAAGTTTTAGAAACAGACAACAATCGGTTCCATTCGAAGGTATTAACTTGAGGCTGACATGAAACAATCTCAGTAACTGAAGTTTAAACGTGACACTAAATTCATAGAGTATCATTTGTACCAGAGAAGTAATTTAACTTGAAGAAGAAGTTTAATAGAAATATTTCTCGGAAGATGGTTAATAACAATTCCTGGGGAGGGAAACTGTGATTGCAGCGCGTCGTGGGGAGCACGCGGTGAACAGAGGGCACATACGAAATAGTTGTAAAACTCTGACGGCACGAGCAACTTTTTTAATAACATCCCCCCGCATGATAAAGCCGCGCCAATCTCATTTGTCAAAGCCTTGGACGCGCGTCCACGTCGATGTCCGTTCCGGCGGCCACTAAAAGAGAAATTTTTTGAAAGGACAACTCTCTTCTTTCCTCATTAGCTCGGGTGGGGCAATCGTGCGCGGAGAATAAAAGTAGTGCGGTCTCGACGGTGGGAAGAGATTCTTACCGCAAACCAGGAAAACATTTGGAAAATATTAGATCAACGTATGCATTTAGAAATCGTTACTTCCACTCAGCAAACTTTTTTGCATCTGCTTGGAAATTATTTAAAGAGTTGTAACTTTTAATAGCCTGTTTAAGAGCAATTGTACTCAATATTCGATCTTCTTTCTCTGGAAATAATTTTAAGTTCAACGTTAAATGCTGTGAAATGATTAAAAAGCTATAATGTCCTATTTAATCAATGAAGTTTTGAATATGTATTCAAATTCGTGGCGTGTCATGTATAAAAGATTAGGAGAAACTGTTATACAGTTGGATTAGGAAAAGTATGCGATAGTAACAGTTCATTTTATAATTTCGTATAAATTCTATATATCTTTGAAACATTTCTTCCAAAAAATTAGAAAACTTATGCAATTTAAAATTATTTACAGAAACAAGAATTTAAAGTTTCCCTTTCGCAGGTGAAATTGAATTAAAGGAAGATAACACTTGGAAATGTAGAAAAAATACGAAGACTAAGCTAGAACGTGTTTGAAGATCAGTCGAGCGGTTTTATCAGTTTCTCTGGAAATTCCAGGATCGGTAATTAAGTAGCGTTGAGGGAACCGGTTCGAGGAATGATTTGGCGGGTCGCGTGACACGAATCGTCCACGTCCATCTTGCCAATTTCGAAACGAGAGAGGATCATGTGCGATCGACGCCGCATACTGAATGGGAAGAGCAACAGGACATAGTGAAAGAACTTTCTTCGCCGGGCGTCGAACGACTCGGCTGGGTCTCGGCTTGGTCAGTCTGCCGTCTTCGTGGAAGCGCGGTGAAAGCGTCTGCACCAGGTCTCCTGCAGCCTCTCGAGAGATCACCATGCTCAAAAAGTGAGGATAAGGAATCGTGACAGTAGAACACAGTGGACGGTGCGACACCTGCGAGCGAGTAGAATGCGCGATCATGGAAAATTCATCCAGTGTTTAGGAAGCTTCCAGCCGACGAATGGGGGAGACGTTCGACTATTGTGACGTTTCATTATTAATCGGGAAATGTATCGACGCACCGTGTCACGACAGATCTGGACCCTCGGTTCGATCTTGTTGCTCGTTGCTCACGCTGTCTGCCTCGACGTCAGATTGCTGCAAAACGACTCGTTGACTACGGATTACAGTGTAAGTAACCCGTCGGACCCAACGTTTGTGACATTCGATCAGTGTTAGAAATTTATTGTAATTGAGTAAACCAGTGCTAAGTTATTATATACTGCATCTCTTTAGTTATTCTAATACTTTTGCGACAGTTCGTTACTCCAAATCACATTTGCCTGCGTAACATACAATTTGTTTGTATAAATAGATTTAAAGAAGACAAGCC